TCGCTCCCCCCCTGGGGGACGATCGCTTCCAATGAAGCCTTAGAGGCCTTCCCGGCCAGAGGCAGCCCCTACGGGTGTTTTTTAGTCAGTACGAGTCTGACATAACCTTGCAGCCGGCTGTAGGGTATCCATGAGGATTTTTCATCTGCTCCCCCGCCTGGGAGACCGAAACCGTGCTTATCAGCGCGACTTTTAGTCTTTAAATAGTTTATTTGAATTTCTTTTGTTGTTATTTTGTAAAACAGGTATTAGTTGTTTTGGTAGTGTTTAAATATTCGTTCAAATTAAAAATTATTAAGCGTAGGTACTTTTATTAATTAAAGTAGTTACAAGTATTTATTTTTAAGTGAAGGAGGTATAGGTAGATAGTATTGCACAGGCGTTTCAGCTTTGTTTTCATTTCTTTTTTGTTGTGAGTTGTATATATTTCTGGTTATAATTCTATAAGAATATTTTAGTTCAAATAGTCACTTAGATTTTATGTGTAAGGTAGCTAAAGTTAGGACCACGTATTAGTTGTTTTGGTAGTGTTTAAATATTCGTTCAAAGTGTAATTTAATCATATAGGATGAATGTACGATGGCCCATCGAAAAGGAGTAGAAGCGGTAGACAGAACTTTAAGAGATATAAGACAAAATGATCGACCCATGGGCGGTATCACAGTTTTATTTTGTGGTGATTTCCGACAAACCTTAACGGCAATACCACGGGGAACCCGAGCTGCTGAGGTTAGGGCTTGCCTGAAAAGCTCTTATTTGTGGCGTGATATACAATCGGTGCATTTGACTATAAACATGCGAGTGAGAACTGTAGATAACCCGGATGATCGTGAATTTTCTGATATATTATTAAAGAAAATACCTTCACCAAAGATACCTATCCACTGCTACACCAAGGAAAACTTATTCTGACGCCTGAGTTATGTTGTATAGTGCAATCCCAACAACATCTTACATCGTCAGTTTACGGTGACGTAACAAATATATTTATTAAATAAGAACAATTCTTGGCTATGCGAAAGGTCCATTTTAACTCCTCGCAATGACCAGGCATCTGAGATTAATAATAAAATACTGTCGAATATCCAGGGGGAAAGCAAAGTTTATAGTTCAATAAATAGAATGGCCGATGAACAAGAAGCCACTAATTACACGATAGAATTTTTAAATTCTTTAAATATGCCCGTACTTCCTTCTCATGAAATTTGTTTAAAAATTGGCATTCCGATTATTCTGCTCCGAAATTTAAGACCACCACAAATTTGCAATGGAACTCGGCTTAAAGTAACCCAGTTGCAACAAAATGTAATCGAAGCTCAAATTTTAATAGGTTGCGGTGCAGGAGAAACCATCTTTATTCCCAGAATTCCCATAATACCAAATAATTTTCCATTCCAATTTAAAAGAACGCAATTCCCAGTATCGGTGTGTTATGCAATAACAATAAATAAGGCTCAAGGGCAGACCTTTCGTGTTGTTGGAGTAGATCTCGGTGTCAGTTGTTTTTCACATGGTCAGTTATGTCGGTCTTTCCCGGGTTAGCAGTCCTAGAATTTTTTATGTTCACGTTCCGGACGACGGGTCAAATTTCAACGTAGTCTACCCGGAAGCTTTGCGCTGAAGTATTTTCATTCTATATGTACTTAAGACTCATGTGAAAGCGATCTAAACAATATTACCAATACATTAACATAATAACATACAAGGAGTTACACGCTGATGGTCTCGGGGCACAGTGATAATAATAATATTCTGCGGTTCCTTATTGCGATATTTTTAACAGTATTATATTTCCCTACTAAAATACGAAAGTTAATCTGTCTGTCACATCAAAACCACGGAACCCTGAGGAAGGAAATATGCTACTTTTTTACGAAAAACGACGCTAACGCGGACGAAATCGCGGGCAAAAGCTCGTTCGTAAAATAAAGTCGCTTTGAACTTTTTAATAGGATTATAAATAGATTAAGAACATATTGACGACCTTCGTCGCCGAGTGGTTTGTACGCCAGGTTTCATGTTGTCGCCGACTCGAGAGGTCCCGGTTCGAATTCCGGTGGAGGCAGATGTTTGTGTGATGAATACGAGCATTTGTACTCCAGTCATGGATGTTAAATATGTATTTCTATATAAATATGTACTGTATATTATTATGTATTCTATCCGTTACCCTAGTATCCCATAACACAAGCCTTACATTGCTTACTTTGGGGCTAGGCTAATTGGTGTGAGTGTTGGAAATATTTATTTATTTATTATTTATTATTATTATTATTTTATGAATTTGCTTTTATTTTTATGGCTTCTCAATTTCAGTTATGACTTTTTTGTGAAAAAAAACTTCTATCCTCGTTTCTGTAAACTTACTAAAGTGGCGTTTAAGCGAGTTTGCTTTTCCACTGTCGTTATGATGATGTTAAAGTTACAAGTCCGAACTGAACCGCAGGCGATAGGCCGCAGCTGCAGACTACAGGCGACACTTCTAGTTTCTATGAATCTCTATGAAATTGATTCCGAGCGCGGCGACATGCCGCGGCTGCACAATGCATATAATGCACGGTCAGCCGCAGGCGCTAGCCGCAGTGTCGCCTGCGGTTGTCGCCTGCAGCCCATTGCGAAATTGTACCTTAAATTTTTAAATTACATTCCAAGATGGCTACTTCAATGCGAGGGGAAAAATACTTATTCTGTACCTTACTACAGCCATAATACGCAGGGATTGCTACGACAATCATATTGTGACATTTAAAATAAAACTCAAATATTGTCTAATAAACTTATATATTGTAAGGAAACTTAATTTTACAGAGTTTGGTAACAGTATTTACCATATCAAAAATACAGGCCAAACCGGGAGCGAAACAGATTTTGCTTACAAGCTAAGTATATGTGGATTCACATTTGAAATAGAAATATTTTATACACTACTTCATAGATATTCAAAGAGATTTTCTCCGCCGCGAGAAAGAAAACTGCCAATTTTATTTATCCAGCTAGAGCTCTGAATAAGGAATAGCTAGAGGTGTCGAACGGACCAATGTCAAATTTGACATGTGTTTCATACTTTTTATGTCAAAATTGAAACGTCGAAGATGGAATCTTTATTTAACTTATACCAGATTTTTCTCATACAATAATGTCAAATTAACATTGACGTTTTGACATTCTGCTATGGGATAGATCTAGTTTAAGTTGAATCGAGGTTTAGCTAATTTGCTGCAAGTGGGCCTTTGGAACAATACAAATTCTTCTATTCATCACATAAACATTTGCCCCACCGGGACTCAAAGCCGGGACTTCTGAGTAGGCGACACCTTGAAAACCGGTGTCCATACTACTCGAGCAACGGAGGTCGTCGTCGATGTTAATATTTTTGTAAGTCATCGATACCTATTCATTGGACGTTGTGGAACTTCGATCAACAATTCTATAGATAACGGGTCAGCGCGTAAAATTCGTCCCGGTAAATATAGCCACACTTGAGGCGTGAGATCTTATTTTAAATTAGTTCGGTTAATACAAAACGAAGTAACTCGCTGGCCAATGACTGGTAAAAATATTTTATTTTGTGGGTCATAAGGTTGATTTTACATTTCCCTTTTTTCACCTTTATCGTTTTTTTGCCAAGTATCAGTTATCATTTCTAAAAGATATCTTATAAGATAAAAGGTCGTATGTGCGTAATAACATTTTGTTATTTGTAACCTCATTCCTATGTAACATGGTTGTTATTAGATTCAACTTAAACTGTTTTAAAACATTTATCTTTGTTCATTGGGAATGGAATATAGCTGCATAATTTAAACATACGCGGACAGTTTTTAGCTTTGATTTTGTATGCAACCCGCTATCTATAGAATTGTTGATCGAAGTTCTGGAGCTTTTGGCTGTCAACTGCACCTGATAAAGCTTTCGACAATAATTTTGGACTTTTAGTTAAACTAGACTGAAAGGACAAGTGAAGTGAAACAATATTGATAAGAAATTTTACATCTCTTTTAAAATCACTTTAATGGTTAAAATCCAACAAAAAACAGTTCAAACCGTCAAAATAACAGAGTCGGTAAAAACTATTTAATTTATTTGCAAGTTATCTTAAGGATTTACTGACACTAGCCAGTTTACTGCAGTCTCTAGCATCCACCAGTCTGCTATGGGCGTGCTTGGACGTAATATCTCATACTCCCTTTTTATACCCGGGGATGGCCTATACTTACTTAGATTTAAATAGATCACGAAAGAAAGATAAGAATGAACCAGGACACAGACAAAGACAAAGAAAAAGTGAGATATCTAGTTCACTGTCGTTCATACTGTATCTCTAGTTAATTTTTTCAAACATTACAAATTGGGTGATGTAGTTTTGGATTACAATTACAAATCAAATTGTGTTTTTTGTAATTCCTCCTATCTCTAAGGAAAAGCTATAGAGCTATATAGAAGCTATCCTTATATACAAAAATTCTTTGTAAGTAGTCGTTATTCTTTGTCAAACAACGCATAGTGAAATCACAAAAAGTCTATTCAGTGTACTTTAAGCACCTTAAGTCGACTTGACGATCCAAGGCTCCCCGCATGGGACCACAGAATCAAAAGCCTTTATAAGCAGTTTTCTATCTAGCTTCTATTTTATATAAAATCATGCATAAAAATTACAACGAGATTGCATTTTGTCCTGTAAGCGCCTCTCTCGACAGGTTGTCATGGCCATGTCGAGATCTCTATGGATCCTCCAGAGAATCATGGGATAGCAAGTGTTAATAAAATGTTACTATCCAGTGCCTGCTTTACACAACTAAATCTTTTAAAAGCATGCGCAAGCTTTGCAACTCGAGTACCCTTGTTATGTATAAGCGCCGCAAGTGCGTTCATCAAAGTCGTCATGGAAAGAGAAGGATTCAAGAGTCTGCCGTGGAACTACTTACAAAATCGCTAGCGTTTAATAACTGTTTACTAACAAGCGTCTAGTTTATGCTACGCTTTTTTATAAATTTATCAGATCAAGCACAAGCTTTACAACTGGTATGCACTTTTATTGTCCTGTAAGCGCCGTGAGTGCCTTCATCAAAGTCGTCATTGCAATATAAGGATTTGCAGGAGTGTGTCCTTGTTATCATATCGTATGAACTGTTGCTGAATCGCAGTTGAACTGCGTTCCTGTGTCGAGTCTTCGTGTAAGGCCCTGGCTTCAGTTCAGTCTTGTAGAACCTCCTTGCTTCGGCTTGCAGCCATTTGGAGTTGGAGAGCAGTTTCTTCGTCCATTCATCTGGAAAAATGACGGTATTACAGTTTGCTATGCATTACATGCAGGAATTTGATGACGTAGTGGTTAGCGCGTTCTGATTGCGATCGGATCGGTTCCATTGGATGGGCGATCAAAATGTTTTATCTCGTGCTCTTCTGTTCTTTGAAAGGCACGTTAAGCCGTTGGTCCCGACTGCATCTGCAGTCGTTACCACTCACCAATCCTATTGGGCCCGCGTGGTGTGTTACAGCCCAATCTCCCTTTTCCACACATAGGGTAAGCCTTTGCCCCTGCAATGGGGACATCAGTAGGCAAATGATGATTTATTACTCGAAAAACCAATGACAAGCGTGTCCCTTACCCTTTTTTTGTAACATAAATAAGTTGAAAATTCTAAAGAATCTACAGTAAAAAAGACTTTAGATGTTAAATACTAAATAGTTCTCTACAAACTTTAAATAGTCTATTCTAATAACGAACGTGCAAGAAAATCATGGAATGCAAGAGCTACTAATTTTTTCTCCCCCCAGCAGTAAAAGTTTATTTGGGACTTGTGATTTGATTTATCAAATAACAAATTGCAGCGCGGTGTATGAGAATATCATCATCATCATCATCAGCCTCTTAATGATCCCACTGTTGGGGCACAGGCCTTCCCTATGGGTGGAATAGGGAGATTGGGCCATGACCCACCACGCGGGCCCAGTGCGGCTTGGCGGGTGCTAACGACTGCAGATGCAACCGAGACCAATGGCTTAACGTGCCTTCCGAATCACGGAGGAACTCGAAATAGAAATTTTTGGTCACCCATCCAATCACCGACCACTGTGAAAGTTGCTTAACTACAACGGTCTCAGCCGAACGCGCTAACTACCTGAACCATCGAGCTCCTCGTAAGAGAATATAATTTACATGTATTCTGCTATTTCTCTCTGTTTCTTTGTATCTTCGAAACATAGCCAACTACCAAGAGACATAATTATGGTTCAGAAAGTACTAACCGTTCAGATCCTTCATAGCGCCAGCCTTCCCTCCATATTCGAAAGGCAATCCATCCGTTGGGAAGTAGTCCAGTCCCAAGGCTTGGTTGATATCTCCAACTTTGGAGTGGCAAGTGATTAATTTGCGACTCCATGGATACAGACCTATACAAAGCATAAATAATGACATGAACTTCAACCGTTGCGCATTGATCACGTGAACCTCGCTGAACTTCATTGGATAGGTAGCCTGGAACAGAGCAGAATAGTAGATTAAATCTAAAGAAAGTTTAAAAAATATCCATGTCTCAAAATACGAGTATGACACGATCGGTTTCCTTATAATTTTAAGCACTCGTGGCGTCTATTTCAGATGGATAATCTACATTTTATCACCCTCTATGACAAAATAAGTAAATTCCACTATGATTGTGTTACTGTCCCTTCTTTCAAAAAAATCTAAACTTAATATCGTTTATTCAGTCTAGGCTATTACAAGCACTTGTGAATGTCGTTAAGCTACGCTATCGGTTCGCTAATCTACGGCGGGAGACATTGTACTGAGAAGAACCGGCAAGAAACTCAGCAAAGGCTGTTTTTTCTTCCTGTATTTTATTCAGAGACGTCAGATTAGAAAAACTTCAATATGAGATAACTCTTGAGGTCACTTTCCATTACAAATGTAAATGATATAAAAAATATGACTATAAAATAAAAATTACATACTTATATTATTTTATTTTCTATATATTGTCATACTGTATATAGATAATTCTTCTAAAAGTTATGTATAAAACTAGTTTATGACTAGTTTCTTGGTGTAGGTGTTAAACCAAGTGTATTCAATAAATTAAAACTTAAAATGCTAGCTGGGCCGGTAGATGTGTCTGGAAGTATATGTATAAAATAAAAGGGACTATGGGTAAAGACAAAGTTCTCTTACACAATTAGGCCCCTGGTGAAATAATACATTTAATTTTTATATTGGTAACATTGCAGAGAAACACCTAAAATCACCTATAAAAAATTTCTTCATCGGCTGGATTCGAACTGGAGCTTCCTACCACTGAGCAACCGCTTTTAATTAAGTCTGATTTATATTTTATATTTATAAGCATTTAACTGCTAGATGTTTTAATCTAAAGATAATTTGCGGGAACGGGTTCGAGTCGCGTCTGAAGCCTGTAGGGCGATTCTGTAAAATAAAATCTCACTTCCGATTTCGGTAGCTGCCATTTTAGACAATAGTTTGATATGCATTACGCCATTACACGGCAAGATGTCGCTATGTCAGTAGAAACAGACAGTATTAGATATTTGATATAATTTTGAAGTGAATATTTCTTTAGTGGCGTTGTACACTTTTTTTTTGTATGGGTAAAAAATGTTAAACTCGTTTCAGGTTAAATACGTGCGCTAATCACATCATGACACAATAAATTGGAAAGGTTGTTGACTTTCAATATATTGGACGAAACATAGTAATATTTTATTTTACCGTATTATAATAATAAGTCTCTATTGCGAAGAAAATGCATTTTTTTACAATAGATGTCGCTGGGTGTGCTTAAATGTGATTCATGTAAGTTGATTTCTTTACAATAGATGTCGCTAAGTGTGCTTAAACGTGATTCATGTAATTTGATTTTTCTGAGAGATAAACTTTTTTAATGTAATATAAATTGTCATGTTTGTGTACGCTAGCGCAATAAATAAATATTGTATTCTACCACATACATGATACTACTTTTATACTGATAATTAAAGCAATTCGTGAAAAATTATTCCCTAGCCATTCCAAAATATCAAAAATGCACAACGTTAATATTCAAGTTTTCACTTCTGCCGGCACTCCCGGAGTGCAACGCGGCTTTTTTTTTATTGTAAAGGTCATACACTGCAAATGGGAATGTCCCCTCATTATGGTGTACTCCTGTCGAAATAATTCGTCATCTCGTAGCCTATCACGGATTCTGCAAGGAATTCAAGGTACACACGTTAACTTATCTGTAGTTCATAATTTCAAATTTATCAGAAATCCCTATAAATGAGTTCGTAAGAGAGATTGCATCTTACAGAATACCTATGCTGGGCCGCGTGGAATGTTTTCTAGTATTTTTTTTTATATATAGTTTGTTTCATATTCAAAGGACAATGGGCAAAACGCACCCAGCTCCGCCAACAATGTAATTAGTATGAATCGATAGATCTATGAAAAACTAGCCTTTTTTATTATGACACCGAAAATATATCCTGGGAGTCAAAAGATATGACACCGAAAAAAATATCCTGGTAGTCAATAGATATGTCACATGGGCATATTTAAGTAGCTGAATAAATTCATTTTATAGTACCTTCATTTTATATTATTAGTAATCGTAATAATATGCCACATCATACTATACAACCAGATATACGACAAAGCCTGCTGACCATCCAGCTCTTGCTCTTACTGAGACATTTCAAAACGGTTTACGGGTGATGAAGGACTTGCAGTTGCAAATAGTCGACTCGTCTTACTTCGTTGTAATTGTGCGCTCCCTGCTACTTAGTTGATTTTTATCTAACACGCTTTGGATTTTGGAACACGATTATCGGTTTTGACAATTAGTATGGATGAATTATGTGTTCTCCGAAGCGTGGACAAGTTTGTGTAATCTGTGGTCGCTCCGTTTTACATATCTTCTATGTAAAACGGACAATTTACTATAACGAACAGAATGTTTAAAAAAAACCCAACCCATGCCGGGATGTTTGGATTTACTCTAGCGCGGCAGAATAACATAAGGGGGCACCCTTGCACCTCGTGAAGTACTCCCATAATTCTTGAGCACCCTACATAGAGTCGAACTAAGTAACTAAATTAATTCCCTTGTTTCATTCATGTTCGTTCGTTATAGTACTTGTACACATTTAACTTAAAATAACTGAAGACCCCCGGGATGGAATTTGATGCAATTTAGCACAGATGATCTTGGCTATAATACCTTTCAAACAAATGTAGTTTAAGCCGTGGCGGACGTGGGTGCAGCGTCCATACATTTTTGCCCAATGTCCTTTAATAACAAACAAAAATTTAATGCAACATGCTAAAAATGTGTGGCGATGTAATAAAAGTCTTATTATAATAATGTTACTATGTCCTTATCATCATTTTTATTACTTAATTCTTTTAAGTAATCACATGATTTAAGGAGCTCGAAAGCGCAGGCGGTGCGGCGCATTACGTCTCTTCTGAAATCGTAGAAGTTGAGCAACTTAAGCAGTGGCCAGTCATTGGATGAGAAACCAAAAACTTATTATATTATACTACATCTAGGGCGGGGGATGTGTTAGGTTTATATATAGCACAAAGACGGCTAAACCTAACACATCACCTATTTTACCATTCTGCGTCCCGTCTGGTAATTTGGTGAATGGTCTGGGGAGCGAGCGCATGTCGTGTAGATCCCCCAGACAAGCCTGGCTGTTTTCCTTCACGTGGTTGCCGCCCGTTATTGGTCTGATTCCCTATGAAACAGACGTAACTGAAATGGTCAGACGACTTTCCCCCCCCATCCACCAGGAGTAGGGAGGCGGCCTGGTGGTGCGTCAGCCTCTCCTGCGCTAGGACCTGCGCAGCATCGCCGTAAGCAGGGATGAAGGGATCCTGGTGTTTGAGCGGAAAGGGTAGCTGCGGCACCCCGGAAGCAACACAGCACTTTGGCCCGGATTTCCAGCGAGACGGTAACTTCGTGGTGTAGCCGACCACGAGGCAACGGTCAAGGCGTCTACCGTCTATGGGTCGCCGGCGAGGGGTGTGGGGGTCGCTCTTAACATCTAGCGATGGACTCTGGCCATGCTGAAGGAGCAAGGTTGCATGGAACCACTGGTAGTTGGGATCGACTACCAGCCATGCAGCTGCAGTTCCCGATGTCGCGCTGTGAGGAAAACCCTGTGCCCCTATATCCTCACCACAATCCTGGTGCCTTGATTTTTGATATCGGCATCCCAGTTGTGGCTCCGTGGCGGGTGGGACTGGTGAGGATGAACTTTTTTGAGACACGTGTAATGGAAACCAACAGATCCCATACAAAAACGAAAAAGGACATGACATCGTCTGGAGACCTGGTGAAGGGGAAACCCGGTGACAGGCAGACGAATATAACAGACAAAGAGTCGGTATACCTGGTGAAGGGGAAACCCGGTGTCAGGCCGACCAACACTGACCTAGACCTAGACGTACCATCTACGTCCCGTGCGTTGGAAGCCTTGGTGAAGGGGCAACCCGGTGTCAGGCAACAACCACAGGACGTGGCTGGTGACTTGGACTCCTGGCAGGTCGCTACCTATCGACGTAAGAATCGGAAGGCAGTGGACAAGACTGGGTATCCAAACAATGACAAACACAAAACGACAACCGACCGGCACAGACTCGGACAGAGGGCTAGGAAGGCCCGTAACAAAACAGCAGCTGGCAAGGCCGCCCAGCAGATTGTTACGGGTCAAGGAACCCAGGACAAGATACAGACAGACAGACCGACAGCTAAAGGACAGACGGACAGACAAACCGACAAAGGACAGACGGACAGACAAGAGGCCTCGAAAAGGCCCAGACTGGACGACACGGTCTCACCGAGGGGTCAATATAAAAAACCAAGATCCGAGGGGCCGCGTCGAACAACGGACAAAAAATCCTTCGCGGATGCTGCTACAGCCGACTTGCTCGTAGTAATTACGGGCAAAAAGACAGGCCACATCAGCGCTGCCCATGCTGGGTTTGTCCTTAAGGCTCTGGAGGACGCCGTTGTTGAGGAACTCCTTATGGCAGGACCTTCAACGGACGAAGGCCCGAACCTTAAGGGCAAGCCCATTATTGGAGACGGAGCTCTCAGCCTCTGGTGTGAGACTCCCCGCACGCTGGAGTGGGTAAAAAAGACCGTAGCTGGCCTAAAGGTCCCGGGGTATGACGATGAACTGATGGTGCAGCGCCAAATTGATAGGCCGAAGAAGGTGGTGTGTGGTCTTCTTGTCCCGGGTACGAGGGAACCACATACGATAGCCAAGCTGCTGCGCTATCAGAATAAACAAGCAGACGTCGACCGATGGTTACTGCATAAGGCCATCGCAGGTGATGACAACACGTTCCTGGTGTTCAGCACCACCAGGGACGTTGCAGAGAAGCTTCTGGAGAGAGGAAGGAGACTGTGCTACCTGATGGGTTCGGTGTACGTTAGGTTCAGGAACCAGGGCGGTCAATACCTGGAGAGCCTGCCGCCTTTAGAGTCACCAACATCTGCTCCGTCGCCGAGCACATCAGGGGGCATAGCAGCATCCACGCCCGACCAGAAGCAGGTGACAGCGACTCCGTCTCCGGCGGATCCCACTTTGGGTGAGCAAGGAGCAGCGGACGTCATCGACGAATGGGCAGATAAACTGGGTGGAATCGACATCGGGCAGGAGGTGGATGTCGATGTTTTGCTTGCGTCCGATGGCGCCTCCACCGAGTAAAATCAAAGTCCTGCAGACCAACCTCCAGCACAGTCGCACCGCAACGGCTCAACTCAGGAAGTGGCTGGAGGACAACAACGACGGGGCTATTGCTCTGGTCCAGGAGCCGTGGATCAGATCCAACATCATATGTGGCCTCAACAACACCGGTGGTAAGAATTTTTACAACCCAGGTAACCGCTCACCGCGGACCTGCATAGTATGTTCAAAACACCTACAGGCAAAAATAATGACACAATTTTGTTCTAGCGACATAACAACAATCCAAATTATACAACAGCAAAATCCAAGTGTACCTGTCCTGGTAGTTGCCTCTGCCTACATGCCTGAAGGAGAGGAAGCTCCGTCAGGGGAACTGGCTGAGCTGGTGAGACACTGCGAACAAACAGACAAGGCGCTGATCATCGGCACCGACTCCAACGCCCACCATCAATTGTGGGGTATGACGAAAAGCAACAAACGAGGTGAGGAATTAGTAGATTATCTATTTACCACTAACCTTAATATAATAAACACAGGATCTGAACCTACTTTCGTAACAAGAAGGGGCAGATCCATCATCGACCTTACACTAGCATCAAGAAGAGCAGCGGATCTGATCTCTGACTGGCACGTTTCCCCAGAGGCATCCTGCTCTGACCATAGGTGGATTAGGTTCAACATCGCGGTACAGCGTGTCACCCAGCCACCTAGACGCATACCTAGCAAAACAAACAGAAGCCAGTATCGCAGACAGGTAACTCGGTCACTGCGACATCTGCAGTCTGGTAGTTTAGACGAAACTTATAAGATAGACGAAACAGCTGAGGAATTAACAAGAGTTATAATCTCAAGCTATCAGACAGCCTGTCCTCTTAGTACACCATCATCCAACTCGGGTGCCAGCCAGTCTTGGTGGGGTCCCGAGCTGGAAAAACTGAGGAAAAAGGTAAGAAGACTTTTTAACAGGGCCATGAATACATGTGACGACCAGGACTGGGATGCGTACAAAGATGCCAAGGCACTTTACAAGAGACGCATCCGACATTGGAGCAATGGGTCTTGGAGAAAATTTTGTTCAGATATAGACTCATGCACAAAGGCAAATAAGGTAAGGAAACTGCTATCTAAAGATAGGCAGCAAGACCTAGCACAGCTCCGGAAGGCTGATGGCTCCCTCACAGAAACAACTGAGGAGGCACAGAGGGTACTACTTGAAACCCACTTTCCGGGCTGCATCATACACACGACACATACTTGGAATGACACTAGCTGGACCCCCACGGAACAATCCTGGAACACTGCATTGAAGACAGTGTCTACAGATAAGTTAAGGTGGGCCATAAACAGCTTCCAGCCATTCAAGGCAGCCGGACCAGATGGCATCTTTCCGGCGCTGCTTCAATGGGCAGGTGAAGCACTAATCCTTATCCTGGTGCCCCTCCTGAGAGCGTGTCTTGCATTTAGATACACCCCGAAGCTCTGGAGGGAGGTCAAGGTAATCTTCATACCAAAACCGGGTAAGGCAGACTACAACGAGGCGAAATCTTTCAGACCAATAAGTCTCTCATCATTTCTGCTAAAGACCCTGGAAAGACTGTGCGACAGAGAGCTGAGAGACAACCAACTAGTCAATGTTCCACTACATCCGAACCAACACGCCTATAGTCCAGGCAAGTCGACAGAATCTGCACTACATGCAGTCGTAAGTAAAATAGAGGATAGTCTCAGACGGAAAGAGCTATGTCTGGGCACCTTTATAGACATAGAAGGCGCGTTTGACAAAACAAGCTTCGCCAGCATAGTAGACGCACTTGGCAAACACGGAGTCGATGAGACCATTATATACTGGGTAAGTAACATGCTCCGTAACAGACTAATCAGACTACAAGACGACAACCATCTCAGAGCATTGGCAACTAAAGGATGCCCTCAAGGAGGAGTACTGTCGCCTCTGCTATGGAATGTAGTTGTAAACGACTTAATTACCAAACTAAACAACCTTCACTACCACACGGTGGGCTACGCGGACGACCTTGCAATCATAATTCCAGGTAAGTTTGCGAGCACCGCCTGTGATGTTATGCGGGGGGCAATGAAGGTTGTTGAAAAATGGTGTGACGACTACGGCCTTAAGGTGAACCCAGTGAAGACGGAATTGGTCATGTTCACGAATAAAAGATCATTAGGCGACTATCGGCTACCGAAACTATTTAACACGACACTGAGGCTCTCCAACGAGGTAAAGTATCTAGGAATAACCCTAGACTCCAAACTGAACTGGGGATCCCACATAGACAAAACTACAACGAAGACTAACATCATTTTCTGGCAATGTCGCAAAATGATTAGCAAAACTTGGGGACTATCACCGCTCATTGTTAAGTGGCTATACACGACCATAATTAGGCCCATCATCAGCTATGCAGCAGTAGTATGGTGGACCAAGACAATCCAGGTAACGACAATTAATAAGTTAAGACGTCTCCAGAGGCGGGCATGCTGTGCAATCACCGGCTGCATGAAAACCACTCCCACATCAGCACTGGAGACAATACTTAACGTGAGACCACTCCACTTGTTTATACAACAGGAAGCTGCATGTACAGCCACGCGCCTAAACATGCTGGGGCATTGGAGAGACAACAACTCCCCGCACACCAGCATCTTGGCAGACATACACAGGCACTTTCCGTACTTTGCAGCAGTAAACGACCTTATTCCTAAGACGTACGTATTTGACAAAAAATACAAAATTCAACTTTATGAAGACACCCCGGACCGTTGTCTGCATAAGGAGTTGAGGGTCTACACAGACGGTTCAAAAACCAACTGTGGTACGGGCTCGGGTGTCTTCTCCGAAGACCTGAATATACACATCTCGACAGCTTTGGGTGCCTATAACACGGTCTTCCAGGCAGAGTGTGTGGGCATCATCAGAGCTGCTGAGGCGATAGAATGTCGCGGGGTAAGAGGTAAACACATTCGTATCCTCTCTGACAGCGCTTCTGTCCTACAGGCACTGGACAACAATATAATGACATCAGGCTTAATTTACGAATGCCACAGTAAGTTGACTAATATTGCTAACGACAATAGATTGACCCTACAGTGGATTAAAGGACACAGTGGCTCAAGGGGTAACGATGCGGCGGACTGCTTAGCCAGGGAGGGGTCTAGCAGGACGGCCATTGGTCCGGAGCCAATTATACCCATACCCTATCGGCAGCTGCGAACCTGGATAAGGGAGCGCTCTCAACGACAACACGACGATTACTGGTCAAAACTCACGGACTGCAGGCAAGCCAGGGAAGCCGTTCCTAAGGTAAACCTGCAGCTAACACGTAAGTTAATCAGACTACCTAGACAAGCCCTGAAACAAATCGTGGGTATACTCACGGGTCACGGCTACTTTAACAAACACCTTTGTAATATAGGTATTTCTGACAGCCCTCTGTGCAGAGCCTGCCTGGAGGCGGATGAGACGAGCGCCCATGTCCTACTGGAGTGCAGGGGCGTTGCAAGACAAAGGACTTCTCTAATGGGAAGCCCGAAGACAATAGTAGAGGCCTGCAGCAACATTCGGGGACTGCTGAGCTTTCTGGAGGAGCTGGGATGGCAGGACTGATGCCAATCCCCACGCAAAATAGGCACTAGGTGTCGATTTGCGGAAACAGCCCGCCGTACTACTAAGACTAAGACTAAGACTATTATATTATACTCCTCTAAGCTTCCGAAGGAAGCCGGCAATTTCTTAAAGAAAAAGAGTTCAAAAGTTCTTTGGATATTTGTTACCTTTAAGCATCGAGCGAAGTCTTTCCAATAGGAGCTTTTGTAGTAGTTTTTCATGAGTGAAGGACGTAGATTACGAACGTCAACGAAGACTATTTCTTCTCCTGGAGTCGGATCTTCCTTAAGCCTGAAACACATAAATTCATCTATCAATAGGAAGGCGAGGACAAAAAAAACGTGCCCATTTTAAATCATAATTTGTTTTTACGAGGAGTGTCAAATTTTTGCATAATAAAAGCTTCTTACAGAGGAGTGCAGAAAGCTAATCCATAGTGATATTATAAATGCGAACTGTGTCTGTATGTCTGTCTGTTCCTCTTCACGCTTTGCCTACGAAACCGATTACGATGTAGTTTAGTATATAAAATAATAAATAAATAAAAATAGTTTATTTCGTAAACCTTATTTTACAATGGTATTCTGTGGCCAGAACTACCCAGGAAGCATGTAGTGATGCTTGTGTTGGGCGGTTTTGCTCCTCCCTAGGATCTCATACATATTAAGGTATACGTTAAGGTAACTAAATAACTACTACTCTAATTAACTCTAAATAATTACAAAATAACTTTTTCTTTTAAAGGTATAGATAAAATTAAATTAAATACTGGTATGTGTGTTTGTGATGTATGTATGTGTGTGTGTGTGTGTGTGTGTGTGTGTGTGTGTGTGTGTGTGTGAGTGTGTGTGTGTGTGTGTGTGTGTGTGTGTGTGTGTGTGTGTGTGTGTGTGTGGATTTAGATTGGAGGGCGCTGTAGAGCTTTTCTACCGTATTTGTAAGGTTTTACCCCTTTTAGACATGACTAAATACAAAAAACCGCAAGAAATCACAACAACAAACAAATCCGTATCAATACAAAACTTTGATGTTTTACAGATTGCTGGGTTTGTTTGCCAAATAAAAATCTTAATGTTAGTTCCGTGTTTCGCCACGCCAATTCTCTTTCCGCACAGACTCTTTAAGATATATATAAAATTAATTACATAATCGTTAGACACACTACCGTAGCGTTTGACTCGCACACAATTTCTATTTGTCAGAAGAAAAAGATTAAAGGCAGAACACGGTCTGATAAACGCTGATCAACCGATTTTTTCATTCTGAATGAACTCGAAACCGATATTAAAGGTAGAATCATGATTGTCCTCATAAAAGCTGCATAATATCCTCGTCGCGGAACCTTTGTGATCGTTTTGAATAGATATTTATTTTTGCCGCAATAAACTCTTCGTCGTGTTTTATTGGTATTATGTAATTTACATAAAAATGGCGTAGAAAGCTTTTATGTATCCACTCTACGCTTCTGCCAAGTTGTTACAAACTCAAGTTTGCCTTTCAAGCCAGTTTTTTATACGAGTATATACTAACGTTTAAATAAACTGCTAAGTTCACTTAAACTTTTTAAATTTCAGAATCATCGTCATCATCAGCTTATTAATGTCCCCATTGCTGGTGCACAGGCCTTCCCTTTGGGTAAAAATGGAGATTTGGGCCATGATCCAACATCTGTAGGCCCTGCGGAAATTGATGGGTGCTAACGACTGCAGATGCAATAGAAATCAACGGTTTAACGTACCTTCCGAAGCACGTTGTACCTCGAAGTTCCTAAGGTGGTGAACCTAATTTTGAGAAGAATTCATACGCTACAAATTTAACATAAACATGGTGTTTAAGTAGCGTCTAGGTTTCCGAGTGACAACGTATCAAATAACTAGTGACAACTAATACCCACGATCTGGGAATCTAAAATAACGTAATATATTTGTATGAATCATCTATTATTTTTCTTCTAAGTGATCTGATTTACACCTTGTACAAAACTCACAAATTCGATAAATCAGGAATTAAAAACAACTTCAAAACACATGCAGTGTAACATTTTTTTTTACCAGGTATCTAAAAGTCGTTGCAGCCAGTTGTCAATGTTTTTTGGTTTATTCTTTCTTTTCTTTATTTTGTATTTCTATCTAGCCCGAAAACAGAGATGGAATTAATGATGTAGTGAGCTGAACGTGGAAATACAGACGCTAGCAGATAATTCCACTCCTTCGCTCTACGCATCATCAAAGCATTTGAGAAACGTTTGGTGCGAAGGAACAGCTACCAAAAAGGATAGGTAACCCGCAATGTCACATTAAGTTTTCAATGACTTTTGGTTTGTGTTGAGAATTACTTACCGTATGTCCAGTATCATGAGCCACCTAGAGATGAAGGCTTTTACTGACAGTGGCTTGTCCATTGCTGTGGGGGCTGGCAGACGAATCATGGTAAGACGTCTACCACCAACGCTTTTAGCCCGCAGGGGTACGATGTATCTGGAATTTGTCATTAACCACTAATAAATACTACGAAAAAATATTCTTCTTTTGAAACAAGAAAGGAGATCTAAGTGATGTTCAATTGTTTCTGGTAAAAAATTCTGCCATATTTGGTAGTTAAGTGCTTTGATAATGAAATATGATTGAGTGAAATTTGATCACACCAAAAACATTTTTATGTAAAAGTTTGCCGAGATGAGACCATTATGACTTCCGCTGTCAAAAAGTTATCAAATCTCAGGTACAGCCAAAGTTCTAACTCTACATTCAAATTCCAACCTGTTATTTAAGAAATCAGACACCAAAATCTTATGTTCCGAAATATTGCTATTTATAAAAATAAAGCTTTGCTGTGTATTTTATCAATATATTTTGTTTCCTGTATTTTCATGTAAACTCACAAAAAAATAACTCATTTTTGCGAGAGTACCTCGAAATTCCCTTGTGACCTAAAACCAAATAAGGATCCAATATATCACGAAATTCTGAAAATTCAATGAAACAATCTATTAAAATGCCGATTAAAGGAGATTTGCATTTTTTTATATTAAAGGGGGCAAATAAGGCCCAGTTGATGGTAGACAAAAACCGTAGCTTATAGACGATTGCGATACCAAAGCTATCACTCGCACCGTTACCCATTGCCCCGCTATAATCTACCTTTCTTTTGAAATAAGTATGCATCCTGGCATCTATTCCTGATACTCCATGGAATTCAAAAACGTCCTGGCAGCTGGACAATATATCTTCGTTGTGAGGTTGCCTCTCGTGCCACAACTGCAACCCGCCCGCTCCTCTCGCCTGATAGTATCGTCTCACTCTTTTAGCAGCCTGCCTCTCTTATGAAGTAAGTATGCATCCTGGCATCTATTCCTTATACGTCATGCAATTCCAAATTTGTTTCTTTGGAAAAAGAGTAACTTACACGTCCTGACAGTTGGACAATATATCTTCGTCGTCAGGTTGTCTCTCGTGCCACAACTGCATCCCGCCCGCTCCTCTCGCCTGATAGTATCGTCTTGCTCGTTTGGCAGCCTCCATGTCATCGCCACTACAGGTAGACAGGAACAGGTTGAGCACCGCCAGCTCCCCCTGAGATGCCTGCCGGGTCAAGTTGCCGCGTGCCCATCGTTCAGCAAACGACGCTGCTTTTGACATCTTGACACTGAAAGCAAGATATAAACCTGATCATTATTATCATCATCAGCCTACTAATATCCCCACTGCCGGGGCACAGGCCTTTCCTATGGAATGGAATGGAATAGGGTGATTGGGCCATGAACGACTGCAGATGCAGCTGAGACGGGAAACGGGTTAACGTAAGAATCTCGAGATAGTACATTTTTGGTCACCCATCAAATTGCTTAAATTAAATAATCGTAGCTCATCACTTGCGCCCGCGATCTCCTTTTGATATTGAGTACAAACGAGGAGCTTGAGGCAGTTGTCCGATCGCCGGCGAGGAAGCGATGAAGTAGCGGTTTTTTTCTTGGTCAAGAAACGTACGATAAATATACATTCCGTATAAACAAGTGATGCATAAATTAATAGTTGGTCGCTGACTGTTCACACTGTCGGCGAGAAATCTCTCCACTAGTTTCCGCTGAGTGACAAGCATCGCTCAGCGATACCTGCTGAGCGATGCTCTCTTAGCGGCCTGATGCGCCCGCGTTTATTTTATTCAGCCGGGCTTTTCTGCAAAGACAAACTCACTTTTTAACCGCGGAATTCGACGGTGTGATTTGAAATTTTTCTTAAATTCGTGTTCTAATTTTAATTCTTACCGCAGATTCCGCGGTCAAAAGTTGTTTTTCATCTTATACCTCGTTTAGATTATGCCCATGCCGCTGCCCCTCGCGTTGCTGGCAATAATTCCCTAAATATTGCTGCGGCATGATTGAGAGAAGTATGTGTTTACATACTGCCCTACCTCTCACTTCGCTTCAGAGTTTCGGCAATGGCAGACGTCGAAGTAATTACAGCGGCCGCGCTGTGTCTTTTTGCAATCCATAATTATGTTCGAAATTTGAATAATTAATAACTTTAATATAAATAAATTAATAAATATTAATTATTAATAAATATTTAATTAATTAATGAGGAACTCGATGGCGCAGGTGGTTAGCGCGTTCGGCTGCGATCGTTGTAGTTAAGCAACTTTCGCAGTGGTCGGTCATTGGATGGGTGACCAAAAATTATCTTAATATTAATTATTATCTATCTCGAGTTCCTCTGTGCTTCGGAAGGCACGTTAAGCCGTTGGTACCGGTTGCATCTGCAATCGTTAGAACCCGCCAATCCGCACTGGGCCCGTGTGGTGGGTCATGACCCAATCTCCCTATTTCATCCATAGAGAAAGCCTGTGCCCCAGCAGTGGGGACATAAAGAGGCTGATGATGATAATAATAATATAATAATAATCATTTATTTTCGGATAACAAGGATCCATAGTAATGATTTAATTAATTAATAATTTTTGATTTCATGTCTTTCTCCACCAAGCGCATGGCGCGAACTAAGCGACGCGCAGAATGTGAACACCACTCGCGCTGCCGGTCCTTTGACTTCCGCACAAAAAACCGCTCTTTTGGGGAGCGCCGGACAGCGCAAGTGGCAATGGCAGTGGCATGACGAGTATCGTGTTTAAATACTCGTCATGCCCACTTCCCTCCTTACTCGCGCTGCATGTAAACGAGGTATTATAGAATAGCAAGGCTGGACTGTCACTGCGAGCAAGTGACGCGAGTAATTGCCCGCCATACTCGCACACTCGCATGCATGTCCAGCGATAAAACTATCGAAACTGCACATTGCCGCTGATCATCAACTCGTTTCTAGTTTTTAGCTCTACTCGCTTCTCGTTCATCGTCATCGGTGGGACAGGTGCCTTCAAAATTCAAAATTATCACTTATCTCCGTCAAAATCCATATTGCCCAAGAATATTATTATGCCTCTTTGGTAACTCTTAAAACCTAATATTTAATAATATGTTCTAATGATGAGGTGTAACTACTAAGAAGTTAATTACTTTAGTGTTTAGACAAAACTTCAACATTAAGTTTGACAAACAAAAGGATGTCCAAATAGAGAAGTTTCAAAGCAGCGATGCTCAGTAACTGACCATTTTTAGTATTAGAACCGTTTCTCGAAAAATTAAACATTATCATAACATTAGGAAGCGATGACAAGTGAGAACAGCTGGAGGTCTACTCTCTTTCTCCGAAACGAACTTTCGACAACGAAGTTGAAACGAAATTTAATTTCGTAAATTTAAGGTTATATTTGTTTCTTAGGTTTTCACGCACATCACTCATTAAATAAAACTAGTTATACCGGGTTAATGCACAAACTTTATTTAATTATTGACGTTTCGCAGCTTTTTCAGGTCTCAAGGTTATACTTAATTTGAACGATAAACTATCAAATGGAAGCTTTCTTTGAGTAGGCTTAGAAAATCTACATCTTAATCTATATTCCGACAATGTATATTATTATAATTAAAAACGAATCAGAAACATAGTACACAGTGCGAAATTTCGATTGAAATTTCGTTATTCGTTGAATTAGAGTAAACCTCCTGGTGCGTCGACCCAATGAGTGAGTCATACTCACATGGAGGTAAAGGTAATGAAGGCTAGCGATATTTAAGGTTTGTCGTTTCAGAGAACAATGCTAACTGCAGAAACGATACGGGCGTGTTACCTATATTAAGCACCGTCGTTTTTGTTTCACATTTTATCTGATGAGTTATCGCTCTGAATACGTATGCGGGTTCCTTTTTTATGTTAAAGGGTGGCAGACAAGCGTATGGCCCGCCTGATGGTAAGCGGTCACCATAGCTTAAAGACGCTTGCGATACCATAAATATCACTCGCAAAGTTGCCTACATAGTTCTAATCTACTAATTATCGGCTATTTTATTGCTCAAAAAACTTACAGTATATCTACTGTAAGTTTTTTGCATCTCTTTTGTTTACAGTCCGTGTAAACAAAAGAGATGCATATTAATAGTTGATGGCAGACTGTTCACACTGCCGACAAAAACTCGCTACACTCGCTCAGCAATGCTCACTCAACCATCAAAACAGGACTGTCATCGCAAGCAAGCTGCGCGAGTCATCGCCCGTCGTACCCACACTCTCGCTCATAACCCAGCGATTAAACTATCATAACTACACTCGCTTCCCGCTTCTCGTCAACTCGTTTGTAAGTTTCTAACATGTCGTTAATTGTCGTCGTGGGGCAAGTGCCTTTGTAACGTTTGTTGCATTTATTTCAGAACAACAAAAGTGGAATGTCGTTTAAAAACTCTTTAAGTACTTAATACAATAAATAAATAAATATTTCAAACACTCACACCAATTAGCCTAGCCCCAAAATAAGCACTGTAAGGCTTGTGTTATGGGATGCTAGGGTAACGGATAGAATACATATACTGTACATATATAAGTATATTTATATAGAAATACGTATTAAACATCCATGACTGGAGTATAAATGTTCATATTCATCAAACAAACATCTGCACCCACCGGGATTCGAACCCGGGGCCTCCACTCGGCCACGGAGGTCGTCAAATGAAAATTCACACGAGTGATATTCTGACATTTCAATCGTGCGTGAGTCAAATTCAGTTCACGCTACAGCTGCGCCGAAACGGTGTGTTAACAGGATCTAACATCTTTGCCTTATCGATGCTCCGGTATGATGTTAAAATACCAGCGTATCCTATCACGAAGCCAGTTCCCTTGACATTCAACGTTTCAAACAATTGTTAAACATAATGTCGGATATTGGGAAATACGTAATCGCGAAGCCTGAATTGATCTGAATTGAAATGAAGTATCTATTTCGCAATCGTAATGTAATGCAGATGTTCTATTGTTTAGTTTTAATATTTTTATTTGAGGTTGCTATATCCGAAGTGTGACAACGGAATTCAACACATGACGTCATTAGACCATTAATGTTCCCATTGCTTGGTCAGGCCTTATACTAGTCTATACTATAAATATAATATTATACAGCTGAAGAATTTGTTTGTTTGGTTGAACGCCGCTAATTTCAGGTACTTTTTGTCCGTTTTCAAAAATTCTGTGTTGGATAGTGCATGTATAGGGGAACAGTATATCTTAAGGCTACGACTAATAGAAGCTGAGTACCAATGAAAAATGTTGCAAATACGAGAAAAAAAATATTTCATTTGTGAGCTTCCGTTCCAAAAGTCAAAAAAAGTCTGCGACAGTATAAACTAGTAAAATAGTTTAAACAATTTGCCTCATACTAATGCGGGCGAAACCGCAGGACATCTCTAGTGTATGGTATAAGATGATGAGACCACGAGTCATGGCGTGGTGGGTAACGGGCCTAGTGCGGATTGGTGTGTATGAACAACTAAATGGCTTTACAAACCTTCCGAAGTACGTTGGAATTCTAAATAGTTATTAATGATATAAGTGTGGTAAGTTGGTTATTACAAACGAGTAGACGAATGTAAGGGGAGCTTCATGGTGCACCTCCCGATGGCGCAAGTGGTTAGCGCGTTCAGCTGCGATCGTTGAAGTTAAGCAACTTTTTCAGTGGACGGTCATTGGATGGGTGACCAAAACTAACATCTCGAGCTCCTCCGTGCTTCGGAAGGCACGTTAAGCCGTTAGTCCCGACTGCATCTGCAGTCGTTAGCACCCACCAATCCGCACTGGGCCCGCGTGGTGGGTCATGGCCCAATCTCGCTATTCCATCCACAGGGAAGGCCTGTGCCCCAGCAGTGAGGACATACCATAGTCACGAGTTTGTAATACCAAAATTCCGCACGAATGTCATACAACGTTTTTCAACATATTTGCAAGTAAGCAGTACCTATGCCTATATTAAATAAGGAAGCAAACTTTTTCTAATAAGAAAATGGCGCTTATCTTTAAATAGCGTCACGTAATGGAAATTAGAACTACATCTTTTTAATATTAAAGTAGGACATAGGTATATGTTGAGAGAGCTTCCAAGGAGGTTCAACCGAAATAAAAGAAGAACTATAAAGAATAAACACGACGCCATGCAAGAAAATTTCACTCGTAAGTTTTAAGATTTTAAATTACAAGTGGTGGCAATTACTGCAAGACAAAAAGGGACACCACTATTCTCGGTACCGCGCTTTAGCATCCTAGT